AGCCACACTGATCCTTATAAAAATGTAAATTAACACCTCCCTACTTAAAGTTCTCCAGTGGTTTTCCACTACACTTTAAATTTTAAGTCTCCATTAAGGCCAACAGAACCCTCTGTGACCTAGCCCTGCCTGCCTCTCCTTCTCACTCACAGGCATACCAGCCACACTAGATCAGGAACCTGCTTTCTGTTCTTGAGACATACTAAGTTTTTTCTACCTCAAGGCCTTTGCATGTGCTGGTCCTCTGCCTAGCCAATAGCCACACACTGAAATTAAATAAAATCTAAAATTCAGTTCCTCAGTCACATTTCACTAGCCACATTTCAAGAGTTCAACATCATAGCACAAATACAGAGCATTTCCATCATCACAGAAAGTTCTATTTGAACAGCACTGGCTTAAAATGCCCTTGGCCCACAACTCTTTACATTGCTGGTCTTTCTCATCCTCAGGTTTTATTTCATGTATCACTTACTCACTGAAGCTTTCTTGGACCAACCCCTACCTAACAGAGCTCTCCCCTCACTGTTTTTCACATCACCATTTATTTCCTTCATAGCACTTAAACAAGATTAATAATTAGGGTCTGTCAAAGTTATTTACTTGCTTACTGGCTGTTTCCTGTGTTAAAGTAAGTTTCACAAAGGCAGGAATCTCTTCTGTCTCATTCATATTTGTATCTTCATGTCCAAAACAATGTCTGGCACATAGTAATATAGTAAGCACTAAGTAGATATTTTTTAAATGAATTCTTGAGCACCTAGCACAAAGCCTAGTACAAAATGAGATGATAAAAGATAAATCCAGCCCAATCCTTTGATCTGCAGACAAGAAAAGCCATGTTTAGAAGATGTAGGACCTTATCCTTGAGTGGTTAATGGTTTCCACTATGTTAATGCTGCTCAAACTCAATGTGTACTTGAATCACCCAGGGATTTTCCTAAACTGCAGATTCTGCTTCAGTCAGCAAGGGCCAGAGCCTGAGATTTTGTATTTCTAACAAGCTTCCCAATGAAGCTGATGCTGCTAGTAAGCAGACCACACTTTGAGGATCAAAGCGCTGTGCCACCCTCAATTACCTGTCAAGCCATCCAGGAATTTAACATCAGTGCTGAACATGTTTTGCACTTCCTTATGCTTTCAGCCTGTACCAAACTCTTGGCAAAAATGAATTTCATAATATTGCTATCCTTTGAGTAAAGGTGTCAAAGTATGGTTGATTCTCATTATTTACGGTAGTTCTGTTCTAGGAGCCATGAACAGGGAATTGGCAAAGTAATTTTGTTTGAGGGGAATAGAGTTAGGGTCCTGTGAGCCTGTGGTCACAACAACATTTTCATCAACAGACAACATATTCCCTGCTTTACGTGTGTTTCCATTGAAAGACACCTAATTTAATGTATATTGTTAATTCATTAACAGTGAGCTCACAGGCAGCTGCACTGTAACTCACTTGTGAAAGAAGCTTATCTAACACACGTATTCTCTCCATAAGGCACATCATAGACTCCCTGCACTTAGGAACACAGACAGCACTTCAGTCCTAGGCTTGGGGACCATTTTAAACAGCAAAATCAGCAACAGCACCAAAGATGCAGAAACCATGGCAGCAAATGTACTGTGAAAGTGACTTATATGATGAGAGCTGAAACTCATCAGAAGATGGAATATTTTGTTCAGTCAACAGGGAAATGCACATCAGGCAACTCGAATTTTTCGTTACATGTCTGCAAGAGTGCCGCGAGTACTGATTCTCAGGTTCCTGATAAATTACAGTGAATAGGCAAATTCTCAAACACAGAATCCACAGACAATGAGGACTGAGGATACCTCCTTGCAATGTCAAAGGCTGCCCGTATCTCATTTTGCAGGATATAAAGCCCAAGGCCATGTTGTCCTTCCTCACACCCTTCTCTGATTACCACAGCTGCTGTGAACCCATGGAGTGCCGGTGCAAATCAGAAAAAGCGCCCCTTTCTCCGGGTGAATGCAGACCTGCTGACCCATGCCAGAATGCACAGCTTAGCAAGGGAAGAATGGGCTGGTTCTCAGCTCTGGCTCAACCACTCACCCAGGGCCTTTGCACAGGGCACAGCCTGCCCCAAACATGACCAGCCCTACTGATCATATCCCTTCTTGGCCTTTTATTTGCCTTTTAGATGAAACATTTAAGTCTTTTAAATTTTCCTCATAGGGAGTTGAGAGCTAGAATAAGGGGGGGATCAGAGGTAGAATATGATAAAGAGCGGCAGCCTGAGATGGAGGGGCTGAGGGAATGGGAGGTGGAAAAGCCCAGCCTGGCCATGTGCTTGGTGCGGTGGCTCTAACCTGAAGCTGATAGGCCAGGTCAGCCTGTGCTCGGCGGGTGTTGACCTCGATGTCATATGCAGCCTTCTTCAGCTCATAGTCCCTCTGCGCCTTGGCCATCTCAATCTCACTCAGGTACTGAGCAGACACCTTTTCCTGCTTGGCTTTGGCCTCCTGTCCACACAGGGATCAGGTAGAAGTCAGAGTAGGGAGAGGAAGGCTCCCCTGCCTTTGCTGTGCTGATTTACTTCCCTGCCAGCCTGCATTCAGCTGTGCCCCTTCCTTCCCCTCTCCCACTGGGTGCCCAGCAAGCCCATGGGGACCAAGTGACCCCCATCTCTCTCACCCGGATCCCAGCGTCTCTCTTGGCCTCCGCTTCCCCAATCCGAGCATCTTTTTGGACTTGAGCTGTTCGAGCCTTCCCTAAGGAGTGCAAATAGTCCTGCAGGAGAGATGCAGAAGTCAAGAGTTCTCAGGAGGGCTTAGGAGATGGGAGCAGGGATGCGGAGGGGATCAATTGCCTAGGCTTACCTGATCGTCGTGAATGTCCTTCAGGGTGTAACTAACCACACTGATGCCCATGTTGACCAGGTCTGAGGAGGCCACTTTGAAAACTTGCTCTGAGAATTTCTGCCTGTCCTTATAGATTTCCTAGGATAAAAGAACAGTGAGGAGAAACTTAAGCTCTCAGATCCTCTAACCACTGTCTCCCACAGACTAACTTGGTCCTTAGGCTCCCCTCACTCTGGCATCCCTTCCAGATCTTTCCATGCTCAGGCCCACCTCCACAGTCATGTGGGCCATAATAGCCCTCTGGTGGCCCTCCAATGTCTCTAGTGCAATGTGGGCGATCTCAGCCTCTGTCTTCCCCAGGAACATCTGGCAGGCGGCTGCCAACATCTCCTTGTTCTGCCCCTGGATTTTCACCTGTAGCCAAATTAGGGGTAGGGAGGGTGTGGTGAAGGTCTCATGAAACCAGGTAGGGAAGCAGGTAAAGAAGGGAAAAGGTGTTAAGTGTCTTCGGTGTCCCCTGAGAAAGTGAGACTAGCAGAGAAATTTCTCTGCAGGCAGAGGTTTGGGAAGGCCATGTTCATAAAATTCTTAATGTCTGGGGGAAAAAAATGATGAGGGAGTAGACTCTGGGGGAAAGGCTCTGAAAGCCTCACCTGGGCAATGCCAGTGACTGAGATGGGGACCCCATGGCGAGTGTAAACCTTTTCACTCTTGACATTGAGGGTCAGTGTGTTGAGAGAGATCCTAGGGGAAAAAGAAGGGATGGACAGTGAGAAGATGGAAAAAAGAGAGAAGACTGGGATTCCCCTTCCCTGATTCTCCTCCTCCCTACCTCTGGATTTGCTGGATGCAGGGCAGTACAAAGACACGCCCTCCAGCCACCATAACAGGGGGACTCCGGCAGAAACCTGCAAGGTGAGAGGGCAGTGAACTGCAGTGGCCATGGTACAGCTGGAATATAGAGGACTGAAGAACTGGGGTCTTAGAGTGTGGGGACCATTCCCAAGAGTAAATCTGGAAGCTGGAGAGGATGCAATCTGGATCTTGGAAGGGGAGTTGCTGAGAATCACAAGTGGGTGGTTTGTAGCCATAAGGGGTAGGTTGGGGCAAAAGGCTTGGTGTTGGGGACCTTCAAGGGACAGGGGCAAGAGGCAGAGGCCAGACTTGCGGGGGTTTTGGGGTCACTGACTGAGAAGAGCACAATACTTACCAGAGACTACCATGGCCTCATTTGGGCCACAGGTGAAAAACATGGTTGAGGTAGGAGCTGGAGGAGAGAGGGAGAAAGCCTTTGCGGATGTGGAAGGAGCCCTGTGGAGCCCAAGGTAAGAATCCTTTCCAGTTTCCGTCAGTCCCGCCCAGTCTGCAGCCATCAAGGCCCTGTTCCTTCCGCACCCAGGCGTCCGCTAATGCGGTTCCCTGTTAAGTCCTGCAGATCCCCAGCGACTTCCTTCCTTGCTTACCGCCACTCCCTGCCCCCTGCTGCGTCCCCGCCTTCAGTGAAGGCTTTTATCCCAGATCTGATAATCCCTGTGGCGCCTAGAGGCCCCCGACCTCGCACCACTCTCCGTGCTCCTCCGCTTCCCGACTCTCTCTCCCCTCCCCTCCCTACCTCCTGGAACGCGAGCAACAGTCAGGCCCGCGGGGCGCGCAGGTACTAGAGAGCCAAGCAGAAGCACCCGCGTACGGCCTTCCCGGTAGCTGGGATCGCGCTCGCGCCGACGCCCCCCACCCGGCCGCACCCTGGTACTGCGGCAGACCAACGCTCCCCCACCAACCCCACTCGGCCCCGCCCCTTTCCCGGCAGGCCGCGCCGGGTCCGCAGCCCGCCGACCGTCCGGCCCACGCTGGCCTCCTCGCAAGCCAGGGATCGGGGGCCCGGCCCCCGTCCCACGCTCCGCCCCGGGACGCAGGACGTGATCTTCGAGGGTTGGCACCGCTGGGTGAGGGAAATTGCCTCATTTCGGATTTGCCCCGTGGTTACTAACTGGTAAGGTCACAAACTGAGCTAGGAACAACTGCATCCGGTCGCCGGATGCTGGGTTGCGTGACTCAGGAAGAGGGGCTCCGGAGCGGGGAGGAGCGTCTGTTTGGGACGTAGCCTCGGCCCCTCCCGCCGCTCTCTGGGGCCGGAAGGCAGGGAGGAGTCGGGTATCGTCGCTTACAAAGACACATCCAGATGACTGCTGACAATCGAATTTATTTGTGTTCACAGAACACACCAGGCGACCCCACAGCCCGCCCACCGACCCCTGACCCCGTAGCTACTACCCCTTTGGGGCAACTTCGAAGAGATCAAAGTTCAAGGAACTTATTCCCAACGTCCACGCTGGAGGACGGAGAGTGTCAGCCCCTAAACTTACGATCCACCACCGTCCTTAACTCCCAGACCGGGCGCCCTCCCGGACCCCAGTCCTCTCTATTCCTTCTCCCGAAGCTTGCTCAGTTTCAGGCGCCCTGCCTTCACCAGTCCCACGGAGCTCAATAAATACTGAAAGACCCACATTTGCAGCAAGGGGCACATCTCGCACCCTTGCATAAGTTAAAATAAATATTATATACACCCCTCCATCACCTAGGGGGACATAAATACATATAAATATTAATTACGCGCAATGAAAAATAACGCTCTTCTCCCCCTCCGTCCTGGCCCAGGGTAGTCGCTGCACGTCCACATCCCAGGCATCAGCTGACCTCTCCTTGTAGTGTCGAGTCTGAGTTGCCTGGAGAGTCCCAGTTTGGGATACGGTCTCATGTACCAGGTACACCTGGTGTTTCTTTGGTTTTTCAGATTATTTTGGTGGGTGTGGGGAGTCCCAGTTAGAAGGCGGCCGGGTGTTGTTGGAGGAAGGTACTGAAGTCCAGAGCGTAGTCCGAGGGTTCCAAGGTCACATTCAGCGGCTCGAAGACCGGGGTCTCAGTGGTGGGCTCGGGGGCCGCGGCGCTGGGGGCGTCCTCCGGGGCCAGAGGTGCCGACATACGCTCTTCAGCCATCAGGATTTGGCAAAAGATGATGGTGAGCAGGAGAAAGAGAAGCCTTTTGGCAGGGCTAGAATCCTCGACTGGCAGCTGGCGCCGGACCTGACAAGAGACAACACAGGGAAGAGGTCAGGTGAGTCTGGACTTCCTCACCACCACCCCCCGCGCCCTTCCCCCGGCTGCCCACTTCGGCGACACTCACCATCGGTGGGTAGAGGACCCTACGGCTGCGCTTTCGGTGCACGCGGGAGATGCTGGCGCGCGCTGTAGGAACTGCCGCGAGCTCCGGGAGAGGGTCGAAGGTGAAGATCTCGGGACCGGAGCCCCGCCGGGGTCCCGGGCTGGTGGGGGGGGCCGGGGTCGGGGCCCGCAGGACGGTCATGGTGGGGAGGTTGCTGCGAGAGTGACACATGGCGTACTACACAGAGTGGAGAGCCGAGTGTAGGCCCGTGGCCGTACAGACCTAATTATGTACGCTGAGAATTGGGCGGGACCTGCTTAACTCCACCCGAGGCTGGAAGCAGTTGGCTGGAGCAGCTGGAAATTCCGACCCCACGAGAGGGGGTGGAGACTTGGCCTGTGCAACCTTACGCACTCAAGTGTTGTGAGCCTGTGCGCCGTGAGTCGGGGTGAGATCCCAGCTGCAAGAACATGTCCAGACTTGCTGCAGCTGGAGAGGGGCCCGCAGACAATTTAGGAGATGGTTTAACCCCCGGCCCATATCTGGGGAGGCAGAAGGGCTGACATAAGGAAGTCTGGTCATCATGCTACACCACTGACCCAGGGAAGTCAAGGAACCACAGTTCCACGCCCGCAGATATGCTTAGAAAACACACATCCCAAGAGGGAAGTCAGAAAAAGCCAAAGATAGAAATGAACATACTAGAACACACAGACACAACCCTACGTGCCTTAACACACACAAACACACACACCACATTGTGGAGGCAGAAAATTTAATCTTTATCCTCCTAGGTTCTTTGTATGGTCTAATAACTAAATTGACATAAGACAAAGTAACAGGAGAAAATTAATTTACTGTATAAATACAGGAGCCCACGTGAGACTAGAGGCAGCCAGTCAATGAGGCTTAGGTGCCATCCTGAACTAAGGAATGGGATCGGGGCCTGGAGCTTCAGAAGGGAGGAGGGCAGTTCACAGGAAGATAAGAAGAGCAGATGTTAGGTAATCAGATGTTTGTCCTACCATGCAGTTAAGTACTATCTCTGGTAATAGCTCTCATGCTGGTACAGACCCCTATCTAAATTCTTTTAGGCAGTTAAGTGAGAGGTCAAAGCTTTTCCTGAGGCTGCTTTGTCTTGATAGCTTTCAGCCTGAAATATCTATGTGCCGAAGTGGCACATTTTGGGGTGGCATATTCTGCTCCCCTTCAACGTGCATATGACACACACACAACACACGGAGCAAAAGTACAGAGATGGCACAGGGAACCCAGCAAAGCTATCCATTTAAATGTGTGCAGAAATGTTACATACAAGGCTGGAGCAGAAGACAAAACACAAGAGGATGGCAGCCACCCAGATTTGTCCGTGTGAGGCTCAAATAATAAAGTGTATTGAAGGACATCTTAAACTGTGATGCAAATGTGGTAATGGTGATATCTCAAGACAGAATGGACACATTTTCATAATTGCCTTAGAGACAGTTGCTCATGGACACACAATATGGCATCTTTTGAGCATTCACCGAGCCAGGCATCCTGTTAAAGGAGCTGCTGAGAAATACTGAGGTTGGTTTCATTGTGCAGGCTGCTGAGCGAGGCAAGCCAGATATGGCAGGTCCTCAGCCTTGTGGGCCTTACTCTCCGGCATGGGGAGGAATCCTGACCAGGCCCGCTCTCTTGAGGCTCTTAACAAAACTGAAGAATAAGTGCTAAAGGGGTTCCCAAAAGTGCTAGGATTCACATCTGTCTGATCAATCAGGTGAGGCTTCCTGGAAGAGTGGTATTGAGATGACCTTGAACAGCACAGGGAACCCAGGAAAGTCAAGGTGGGGAGGTTGCTTTGAGAGTGACACATGGCGCACTACACAGAGCGGAGAGCTGAGTGTAGGCCCGTGGCCTGTAGTGGAAGGTATGGAAGATGACTGTGAGAAAGAGAAAAGAATTAACAGAGGCCTTGAGCTGGAAAAGTACAGGATGTGTTTGGGGAATGACAAGAAAAACAATCAGTAAGTTTCCTGTAAAGGAGTAGTGGGAAGAAATGAAGGCTGGGAAGGAGGTGGGCAGAGTAGGGAGAGTTTAGCTGCAGGCCAGGAGATAGGGTTTGACTCTGGACTGTGGAGCTTGTAGGTCACAGGATAATACAAAAGGAGGGCATTTCAGGCTAGAAACCGATGGGATGATCAGTATGCCCTCCCTGGCTAAGAGACACTGAGCAGGGGACAGGAGGCTAGTGGGAGTTTCCAGTGGAAGGTAAGGTGGGCCTGAAATGGGCCTGGCAGAAGGAACCAAGAGGAGGGGTGGCAATAAGGTACTTTGCCAAAAAAGATCATCAGAATTGAATGATGAGAAGGGTATCATTAGAGTCAGGGAGCATGGAGAGCCAACAGCAAGAGGATGAAGGGACCAAAGCAGACTCCAGGGATTTGAAATGCATCTGACTCAGGTCTTTACACCTGATCATGACTGGCACACACAGTGAGTACATACCTGACCTCTTCCACTAGAGGCTGTGTCACACGTGTGTGTCCTCCTCCACTAGAAGCTGTGTCACAGATACCTGTGTGTCCTCCGTAGAACCCAGTACTGTGCCTTGGTATAGTAGTTGCTCAACACTCTTGTTCAATGAGAGATGAACATGCAGATGGATAAATGCACATACAGAGTGCACACACTGGCTCGCTCATCCCAAACTTTTGAGACATGGTAGCACTCCTTCAAACCCCACATACAAATTCAGTACATTTTAAAGAAAGCTGGGACAATTCTTACATAGACACCAAGAAAGGGTCCTCTAAAGTATTTCTCAACCAAGGTTGTGTGGGGTTGCAAATAAGGGACATCCCCACAATTGGGCTAGAAATAGATACTTTATTGCTGTATATACAATTGCTTTCTGGGCTATTATGGCCTTTATTTTACACCCACTATGCCTGTCTGAACAGGAGACCCTTCAGCGTTACAGATTTCCTGATGGGCATAAAACACTCTTCCTCTACAAACAAAGCCACACACCTTTCCCCCACGTGCCTTTCACACCTGCCGTCAATCATCCTTACATTTACACCCAAGGTCAGTGAGCCTGCATACTTGCCTCCACCCTTATTCCAAGGCAGCTTGCACACTACACAATGATCAACATAAACTCATGACTGCTTGCATGTGTGAATGGGCCCACATGCTCAACACAGACAAACTGGGGGTGGGGGAGATAGTGGTGATGGAAGAAAACGGCTTGGTGGAGGGGGTGGGTGGAGGCACCAAGGTCAGGAATGCATTATTTGTTTATGGTGGAAAATTTCTCTAGGGCATTAGGCAGGGGAGGGGAAATGAAGGGAGATGTCAGGATCTTGTTTCACCACTGCTTCCTACATCTGGAATCCGGGCCTCCAGCTGGGCCTGGTTATCCTCATCGTCCTCCTGGCACAGACAGGCCTTTCTTTGTGGCAAGACCAGAATGGGACAAAGAGAGAACCCACTTGTTCCTTCTCAACCCACCCCAACCCTATTTCTGCTGCCCCGAGAGACCCAGGGCTCTCCCCCATCCCAGGAAGCTAGGGAAAGGTTGAGGGTGAATCATTAAGTCAGTGGGGGGTACAGGCCCGAGGGAGGGTATGAGTTTAGGCCAGGGGCTGAGAGTAGCAAACAGGTTCTTACTGCCCTAATTCTAGAGAAACAGGTCCTTAGCCCCTTTCCATTCCACCTCTCCTCATTTCCTCCTCATCTCCCCTAAGGTTACCAAGTTACTTCATTCCTCTTTTGACTTGTAGTCTTGACCTCCAATCAACCTCTTTCTGTGTTCTCCATAACACTCAACACAATGGGGATTCCTGTTATGTCTTGGTTTCCTTTTTGTTGTTGATCTTCCCCACTGGAATATAATCTCCATGCATATACAGGACCACATCCACCCTTTTCTTCTGTGGTCTCCAGTACTTGGCCTTTCACCTAATGGGGACTTAAATATTCTTAAATCCATCTCATCAGGGAGCTATCTATCCCTCACCCTCAGAAGCATCTATTCATACAGCTCTGTCCCTTCAGAGCAACCCCCCATTTCCTCTTTGAAGAGGAGGGTCAGGGATCCTCAACTGTGGCTTGGGGTGATCTGCCATTGATTCAGGAAGAACTGTTCAGGGGACAAATGGCAAAGCTCTGGCCCTCAGCCTGGGTAAGTCCCTGACATAGGAATGAGTCACAACTGCTGCTCCACCTGGAGTCTGCTGCCTTGCTAACCACAGGCCAGCAGGAGGACAAAGGTAATGGGGAGGAGGCAGAATGGGCAGGGGAGAGAGACAGATGTTTGGAAAGGGTGCTTCTGGGAAAAGGAAGCAGCAACAGAGGAGCCAGGGTACTCGGAATGAAAGCTGAAAACTCTTAGCTGCATCTGACATTTAATAGATGCTCCGTGACTCTTTGTTGACTTAAGATGGGTTTGAGAGAGAAAGGAGGTGTGAGCAAAAAAGAGCATGTTGTAGTCTAGTGGTGTTAGAGGAAACTGGTTTTAAATACCAACTCTGCAACTTATTAACTGTGGTATTGGGCCAGCTATGGTAACTTCCTGAAAAATATTTCCTCAATTGAAAACTGGGCAGATTGGCCTTGAGGTTATGGCAAGGATCAAGGATAGGAACATACTGCTCCTAGGCACATAGCCCAAGCTTCAAGCCTCTTCTGTGCTGGCCATTATCACGGTTGTGGGAAGAGAGGCTGCCATGGGGGAGATATGGGCAGCAGGGAGCCACCGCAGAAGCAGGAGTCCAGGATGAGAAAATAGCCTCCAAGTGCTCAGACCATCAGGAGATACAATTTTCTCTTTCTCTTTTCATTCCCTGCCCTCCCTCTCTGTCTCAGGCAGGTTTTTCATTTTTTTCTTTTCTTCAGAGAAACAGAGACTTCTGTTTCCTAGTTCTTGTTGAGCCAATGATAGTGATTTTAAGCAACTTCCTCTGGCCCACGTATACAGTTCTAGCCAGAACAGTTCTTGCCAGAGGCACTGTGGCCAGTGGGTTGGGAGTTCTTGGCAGCAAGTTAATAAATGATTCCCAAAGCCTTTCATTTGGGCTTTAGGGTGGCCAGGATCAGGCCCTGGCAGTTTTCCCTGACGCAAAGGATGACAAGGGTGTTTGAAGCACCATGGCAAGGTCACCAAGAGAACATCATATACCCTGCCCTGGGATGCAGCCCAGCCCAGCCCTGCCCAGCCCAGTTTCCACCGAGGCTGCTCAGTAGTGAGTTGAGAAGAGGACTCAGCACCCTGTTCTTGTACCAATG